TAATAATAATAATATTATAAATTTAATAATAATAATTATATTAATAAAAATAATAATGATATTTTCATTTTATACAAATAAAACAATTATTTTTTAAAATCTAAAAACTATAAATTTAATAAGTATTATCAAATCAAATGTTTATTTAAAAATTTTAAGGTTTATATTATATCTTTCAAAAAAGTAAATTAAATAATTTTTGTATATATATTACTATTTTTATTACATTATAATTTCTTTAAATTTCTATGTTAGATATATTACTTTTTTTATAGTTAATTTTTATTTATTTTTTTCAAATAATTAATTAAATATATATTATTAATAACTGAATTTAAGCTAAAAATATTTTTCATATATTAAAAAAAAATTAGACATTTAATTTCTAAAAAAATGTTATTCTAAACAAATTTTATTTTTAATAAAATAATTTTAAATAAATTTATTTACAATTTTATGAAAAAATTAAAAATAATTTAAAAACGAAAGAAAAAAATTATAAATTAAATGTATTTTAAAAAAATTAGTAATAAATTTATTATGAATAATATATTTATTTAAATATGTTTTAATCTTAAAATTGAATAACAGAGTTTATAAATAAATCTAAAATATAAAATAATAGAAATAATTTAATAAAATTTTTAGATACTTACTATTAATATATATAATGATATATTTATAGTAATTAAATAAAATATTATTATAAAAACTTACAATTATAATAATTCAATCATATATAAATATAATTTTATTCTTAAAAATAATATAATTATAATTAAAAACAAAATTAAATATATAATTAAAAAAAATAATGTATAAATTTTATATATATAATAAAAATAATAATTATTATTTTATATTTTTAGATTATAGTTAATAATTTTTATTAACAAATAATAATTCTTAGAACAGTAAATTGAAAAATAAAATAAAATTAAATAAATTGATTTCGGAAAACAAAATAGTTTTATCTTAACCTATTTTTATATTAAATAATTATAAAAAATTAATTATTTATAATATAAGAGTATAAGATTTAAAAATATATATAAATATATATATAAGTATATATATATATATATATATATATATATATATATTTATTAATACATACTTTTATTATAATAAAATATATTTTAAATATTTATACTATTATAATATATTTCTATAATTTTTTTATTTTTTTTTTCATTTTTCGTTTTTATCATTATTTTAGTTTTTATTTTGTTATTAATTTTTTTACTATATTTATTCTAATTCATCTTCTTTTTATTAATCTATAATTTTTTATTTTTCTTAGTTGCTTAAACATATAGCTCTAGATCTTCCTCTAAATTCTTCCATGTTTATTTATTTTATTTTGTTTTTTATCAAAAATATTATAAAATAATAATTTATTAATTTAAAAAATATATTATTTTTTTATAAATAATAATAATTTTATAAAAAAATCAAATTTTTATTTTTATTTTTATTATTATTTATCTTAATTTAAAATTTTATATAAAACATATAATTAAATAAAAATAAAAATTTATTTAAAAATAAATAAATTATAATATTTTACATATAATGATTAAAACTATTAAATAATAAAAATATAATATATATTTATATATAGAAAAAAAAAAATATTAATAATATATAATTAAATATATATGTATATATTTATATATTTAAATATATTTTAAATATTTTTTATGTATCTTTTTAATTTTATTAATTTTTTATTAATATTTATAATTAACAATATATTTTGTTTTATGAATATTTTTATTATTTTTAACATTAATTTTTTAAAATAATTTATTAATTTATCTAAATAATATAAATAAATAGATTTTAATTTATTAATTCTTAATTTAATTCGGTTTCTTTCTTTTTTTAATTTTTTTTATATTTACTTAATATTATTTAAATATTTATTTTATATCTATCATATTATATATCATTATAAAGAATTTTTCTATTATTTTATTGTTTTTTAAATGTTATTTTATATTTTTCTGTTATATAATATTTATTCATTTTATATTTTACTGTTATATTAAATTTATTCATTTTTTGTTTGTTTGAAATTTTACAATTAATCATAAATTAAAAAAACAATTAATTATAATTGATATTAAAATTAATTTAAATCAATATATAATTTTATATAAAGAAATAAACAAAAAAAGTGTTATAATATAAATTTATCATTTATTTAAAAAATATATTTTTTTTTTTTTTTTTTTACTAAAAAAATAAATTAATCATTAAATTTATTTTTTTAATTCTTCAATTTCTTTTTAAATATTTTTCCTTGCTTTTTCTTCAAAGAAATTTCTCATATATTCAGTTTTAAATATATTCTATTAACCCAAAAACCCTTCCAATACCTATGTTCTACCTTTTGCATAAGCAAAATCCTCATAATGTGAATATTCTAATCTTATTCCTTTCTTATACTATTAATACTCATCATCTTAACTACCTAGAATGGCTAAATCAATATCCAAAAAGCTCTAAAGATCTTCAAAAGCATCTTTATTATCAAACTCATTCAAACTACCACAATGCTTAGCCGTTTAAAGTATAAAAATCTTAACTAATTTTACTAATTCCTGATTTTCCATTCCACTTTAACTACAGAATTCTTCAAAAACCTCCGCACTTTTTTCCTCATTATCCCCTCTATCTGCCTCATACACCAAATCATGAAAAAAAATAGCAAACTAAACCAAACTAGTGTTCCAAACCTTAATCCTATCACACAATTCCAACATAAAAACCAAATGTTTTAGATTATGATAAAACCTTTTCCCCTTACTATACATTTCCTTCAAAAAATCAAACCACAAACCCCCTTTGTCTTCCAAAACACCTTCTTTTTTACACAAAGAGTACCATTTTTCTTCCAAAAAGCTATATTAAAGTAATCCAATATCATTTTTTTTCATTAAGATTTCCCTAAAACCCGTAGAACTGACCTTTCCATTCTCTTAATTATTTTAAACTAACTAAATTTCCACAATTTCAATTTAAGAAAGACCATTTTTAGCTCTAACAGTATTATTTTCTTCTACACTTTTTCTAGTTTCCTAACTGACAATAACCGCGTCAAAATCTTCATTTTTTAAAGGCCCTAGAGGATCATTTAAAGAAAAAATATTGATTTTAATTGAATTAGAAGAGAAAATTTAACAAAAATGTAAAATTTTATTTTTCCTACTAAAAAATTTTATATTAATTCTTTCCCTTTTTTATTCTTTAGCATTTCTCTACTACATAACCCAAGTGTAATTTCTTGACTATTATCTGATAAAATCAAAGCTGAACTTAACAATATTCGATGTCCATTATGTAAATGATCGAATGTACCTCCTAGTATTATTCGGCTTTGGCTTTTTAATTGTAAAGGCTTTTCATCAAAATATTGATATGCTATATATTTGTTAAATTCGGGAATTTCTTATTCTGTTGTTGGAATTTATGTATAGTTGTATTTTTTCTAGTTTTTTTTTTTTTATTTATATTATTTATTTTTACCTTAATATTTAAATTTAAATAATATTCTTATTCAAATGGTTTTAAATTTAATATTTCGGGATATCTTAATATTACACTATAATAAGGATCACCTGATTTTATATTACTTAACTTTATTTATTATTTATTATTATTTTTATTTAATTTACATAATTATATACTATTTATATGTGATTTATGAGTTTTTGGTATGTTATTTCAGGTATTTTACCTATAAATTCTATAATTAATTCAGATTATTAAGATTACTGAATAACTTTGTATATTATTTATAAATTAATGTTTAAAGAATTATTAATATTCAAAATTAGTTAATCAGTCATTAATATATTTTTTTATAAAAAAAATAAAAAAAGTAATTATTAAAAATATAAATTTTTAAGAAATTAATTAATTAAATTAATTTAAAAAATAAATATTTAGTAAATATAAATATAATATTATAATATATGTATATATATGTTTATATAAATAATAACTATATATTATATATATTTTTATTCTTTTATTATTATAATAATTATTTTTCATATTTGTTTATTATTATTATCAAATTTTATACACATTTATTTAAATCAAATTCTTTTTTAAAACTTATTATTTTATATGTTATTTACTTTTATAAAAAATGTAATTAAAATAGTTTAAATGTATATATAATTTCAATATATATTCATTTTTTAGTTTGATCATAAACTTTTTTAAATTCAAAATAATTAAAAATAATTATTAAATATTTTATATATAAAATATTATTAAAAATAAAAATATATATTTATATATTAAAATATTAGATTTACTTATTAAAATTATTTTTATTTTTTTTTATTTTCTCCAAATAATATTTAATTTATTTATTTTTAGCTTTTATCATTTTTACTTTAAGATTTATATATTAATGTTTTATTTCTTAATTATTTACAATTTAAATAACTTTTTTTTTTTTCTTTTTTCATAAAAAGACTAAAAAGTTTAATTTAACTTTTTATTTATGATATTTTTTATTTAAAAAATTAGTATATCTTATATTCATTAACATATAAATATTTTTTAATATAAATATTTTTTAATACTTTAATAATCTATATAATTAGATAATATTGTATTTTTCATAATTAAAAAAATAATAAAAACAAATATAATATAATAAGTAAAATATTTAAAATAAAAGTATTTAATATAATTTAGTTTTATAATATTATAAATTAATTCTTTTTTTATGATAAATATTAATAAAAATAAGATAAATATAAAAAAAAGAAATTAATATATAAACAAAATTATATATATAAATTATATTTATACAATTTTATATTTAATATCTTTATTAATTATTTTTAATTTATTTTCATATTATCTAAATTTATCAACTTTATTATATTATATTGTTTATAATTTTTTAAAAATTTCTATTATTGTGATCTCAATTACTTTTTTGACTACGTAACAACATGCTTTTCAAATAATTTAAATTTATATATTAAAAAATTATTACTAAAATAAAAAGAATTTTTACTTTAAAAGATCATTTAGCTTTTTTATTTTAAATGCATAACTTAGTCTTATAATTATTTAGCTTTATTCCATATAATTTATTTTTAATATATAATAATTTATCGTAATATATTTATTTTTTTCTATAATTTATAATATAAAAATACTTTTTTATATATATTTATATTATGTTAAAATTAATAAAAATTAATTTTTTTATATTTAAAAATAGTTTTTATTATTTATAAAAAAAATAATGAAACATTATTAATCAAAAATTATCATCTATATTTATTATAAATACATAAATGTATTACAAATAATATAAGTTAATTTATATAAATTGTAAAAATTCAAATAATATTCGAGAAAAAAAAAATTATGTTATATAATTTTTTGATTAGATACATATTTAAAAAAATTAAAGTTATAAAAAATAAATATTTTAAAAAGAAATAATAAAAGGATAAATTCGAAATAAATATAAAAGATATTAAAAAAAAAATATTAAAAAAAATATATTAAAAAAAAAAATGTTATATAAATAATAAAATAATAATTAATTTTTTTATATAAATATAAAAAATATAAATATTTATATTAAATCTTAATATTTAAATATACATATATATTTTTTATTACTTTATTTCAATAAATATTTAATATTTATATATTTCATTTCTCTTTTTTATTTATTTTTTATTTTATATTAATAATATTATATATATACATTATTATAAATATCTATAATGTATATAATTATTAATATAATTTTCTTACATAAATAAAAAATAAAAAAGATAAAATAATAATTATTTATTAATTTTATAATAATATAATAATATTCTCTATTAAATTATTTATATCTATAAAATTAATAAGATTATTATAATATTTTTTAAAATTATATTTCTTTTCAAAATATTCTTAATTATATTATATTTAACTTTTTAATATTTATGCTATTAATTTTTTCACATATTTTTATAAATTATAGTTTTTTATTGCCCATAAATACATAAATTATACAAAAATTAAATGTATATATAAAAAATATTAAAAAACTTTTATTCAATCATAATTATTGAATCAATTGTATTATAAAAATAACTTATATTATATATTTCAATATCTTTGCAATAATATTTGTATACTAAAATGTTAATTAAAAAAAAAAGAGTAAAGTTAAATTATTTATAATATACCAATGTTTATGAATATATCTATTTATCTAATATTTTATTAAAAAAAATATTTGAAAATCATTGCAATAATATAATACATATTTATTAAAAATACAATATATTTAGCAGAAAGAAATTAATATTATTATTAAAATTTATTTATTATGTAATAATAAATAAAATTTTATTAAAATTTTATTAAAATTTAACATATTTATAAATCTATATAATAAAATTATGTTTTTTATATTAAATATTCGTTTATATTAAAAAAAATTATAAAAATATTTTAGTAAATATAAAAAATAATTTTTTTTATTAATTTCATTATAAACATCCAATTTTCTTTCTATTTCCTATATAATTATTACAAACAAATAAATGTAAATTCTATAATATTTAATCTTCTTTATTGTTATCATAAACTCCATTAACAACAATCCAAGGAATATGTTTTTTTTAAGGACTTAGTATTTCTGTTTTTTTAGCATTTTCTATAATTAGTTCCTAGCCTTCCATTGTTATAATACAATTTTTTATTTTTTCTATATTTTTATTATTTATTTTTAATTTTAAGACGCAAAAATCTAAAGTTTTATCAAAAGAAGTATTAAATTTACTTAAATATGTATCTAAACAGACAAAAATATTTATTTTTGAATATTTGTCATCCATATATTTCATAGAGCAAGTTTAAACTATATTTCCATAACATTCCTAATTATTATGTTAACATTTAATAATATTGTTTTTATCACGCTCTGCATTTCCATATGGAATAATATTAATATCTACTAAATGTGGAATGTCTTTATATTTTAAGATTTTAGAAAGAGAATTTTAAATAAATTAATGTGTATCTGGACACAAAGATTCTGTATACATATCAATTTTGATTACTTTATACAAGCAATAAAATTGGTTAGAAAATAAAGCTAATATAAAAAATAATTAAGATTTCATTTTTTAAATAATAATTTTTTTTTTATATAAATTAATAATTGATTTTATTTTTTATTAATTAATTTATATATTTTAATAGCAAAATATATAATAGAAAACACTAGGTTAATTTTTTAATATGAAAATTATTAAATTAAATAAAATATAGATAAATATTATAAAATAAAAATTCATAAAAAATATGATGTAAGAATATAAATAGTTTTTTTTAATAAAATAGGTTAAATTTAACAGATATATAAATTAAATTTGTATGATAAGTCAATTAATTAAAATTATAGAATAATTTAAAATTAATTATTATTATTCATTTGCATTTAACTAACATTTTTTTACACTTATTTGTAAATATTTTATAATTTTAAAATAATAAAATTATTTCAACTTTTAAATTATTTTTTATAAATAGTTCAGTTATATATAAAAAAGATCAAAACTATTCCCTTTAAATATTATAAAAGTATGCATCAAAATAACTTAGAATAATCTAATATGAGTTTAAATATTATGCATTTAAATTTTTATAAAATAAATTAATTATTTTATTAAAAAAATAAAAATTTATATAATTTTTTTTATTAAATAAATGATTAATTAACTATAGTAATTAGTATAAAAGAATTTTGATTAAATATATTATATGATAAAATATCAAGATTATAATAGAATAATTATTTATCATTTATGATTTGACTTTTTATCTATTAATTTTGATAAATCTAAAATGTTAGAAAATGAATATTTTAATATGATTTAATTTATTTTAAGTTAATATATATAAACAAAAAATATTATTAATACAATTATATAATATTATTAAATTTTTATAGGGAAAAAATAAATAAAATATTTATATATAATCAATTTTATATAAAATATATTAATAACAACATTAAAATGTAAGACATTTATAATCTTTTTAATTTATTAAAATAAATAAAAAAAGAATAAAATAAATTCTATTTTGAATGAATTTCTTATAAAATTTTTTATCAGGGGCTTAAAGTATATATATATATATTTTAAATAACCTATATACCAATACTATATAATTATAAAATAATTATAGATTTAATGTTCATTTCTTAAGATAATAACCTTACAAAACCTTATAATTTTAATTTTATAAATAACTTTTAATAAAATATATAAGAAAAAAATGAACACAATTCAGATACAGAAAACTAATCACAATAGAGTAACTAATAATAAAATAATCTAAC